GTTCTTGAAAATTCCCCTGAAAATCAAGCTGGATTTGATCAGGTTTAAGTTCAAGAAAAAAGTGTCCCCTCATGTGTATGCTTTAGAAACTACAGTTGTTGTTGTTAGCTTTATGCAATGGTCGCCTCCACTGCCACGCACAGAGGGCCTGTGACAGGTTCAGAACTAATCATCCTGGTAAGTGGTGTTGACAGCAAATAACCTTTATCTTGTGCTGATATGAGGAACAAAAAGATATATATCTATATCACGGCCATACTTTTAAGGAGGAAATAACAGGTTAGCTCAGATTACCATGATTCTAAAACTCAGATATTATTTTTTTAAATTTTATTTTTTTTAGTGCATGACTTTGTAAGCTTAATACTCATCTTCTGTTACTTTCTAGTTTTCTGGTTTTTGTTCTTATATACAGCATATAGAGGTATGCAAAAAACACTAAATTCCAAATTGAGCTGTGAAGGTTTTTTCACCTGATCTATGGAGGGGGGAGGGAACATCACTGAGAAGTCTTCTAGCTGGGAAATAATATTGTTTGTCTCTAATTTGTCTATCTTTATTGCTTTTCCTAGGTTTGTAACAATGGTAAAGGAGGATACTGTACGTGACAATGAAAATCCTGACCCATCAGTATGTGACAGAAATGGCATGATTCCCATGCATGAGCAAAGCGAGGTAATTAATTAGGATCTCAAAGTACAATTTTTAGTCAAACGGAACCCTCCTTTTCCTTTCCTTTTTCTTTCTACATCTGTTAAAATACCTATAGCTGAAGAGAATGCAAAGAGAAATCTCCTCAGTGGGAATTTCTTACAACTAACAAATGTTCAGTTTCTAAAAGTCTGCGGATTGCTGAAAATCAGTGGTGGTGATTTCAGCTTGAAGTGGAAAATGCATCAGCGTGCCTTTTACAATCAGTGAGGGAAGAGAATTGTGTGGACTTAAGGTTGCTTCTTTGCTTTTGAATTGTGCCTGTCAGACCACTGGCTGAAAGTTGTTCATGCACGTCTTCCTTTTCTTATCTATTAAAAATAAAACCCCACAAATCATTGTTTTAAATGTCTCTATGCATATTGCCAGTGTTCTTGGAAATGCCTACAGCTTTGAAGAAGATTTGCAGTAAATGCAAGTAAGAATAACATTCTTAACATAAAAGACACTTTAGAACAAACATAGAGTGTATGTATAGTATAGTGTAACTCTAAAAATATCATATGGTATATCTTTATAGACATGGGTAGCTGGTGATCACAGAATCACAGGGTAGAGAAACAAGTAACTCCATGCTGAGAGCTCACAAGATTTGTGTTCCAGCTGTGACTCTGAGTAAAGGATATATATATACATATATATATATGGAGAGAGATAGAGATGAGACAGAAAAATAGTGGGAAATGTGGAACTGTCACTGGAGGAGGGCCAAACCACAGTGTAGGCAAGAATTCCATGTCCATGCTGTGACAATGAGCTGACATGAAGGTGAATAATCGTAAGGAAAGGTAGATGATTAATATCAAAAAATAAGGACCCTAAAATGGAGTGGGACACATATCCAAAAATGGTCAAAAAGTGCTTTGGTTATGAATATGGATAAGCAGATGAATCAGTATAAGAGAACAGCTTCAGGGAACTATTCTTCAAGGAAATAACTCCCAGGGTAGTATTTCTCCATCTCTACCTTGACTTACCAGCTTGAGCCTTCCAGCAATGGATCATGTGAGTAAGGCTTGCAGTGGCCAGCTCTTCTGTTTCTTTCATCTTTGTCTAACTAGAAGTAAGTTTTGCTATTTGGTTCAAGGCATTGCACCAGAAGTTATTTAGGAGTTGTATTAAAGACATTTTTTCACTTGAATGATGCTAATCGTTAACTGTAGTGTGGAATCCAGTCTGGAAGCAGAACCCTACCTACCAAATTGTGGAAAATACTGATAAACATTTTGCTAATATACAAGATAAGCCGAACCTGCCCTATTAATATTGTTTCTCCATCAAATATGCTGATATCGTTGCTGAACAGGTACTATTTGTATTGGGACAGGAGTCCTGCCAGTTGCAGATTAAAAGGCGAATGTCTCTCAGTCTCTCACATGCAGCTCCCTGTGCCACGCAAAAACAAACACATAACCAGAAATCCCAAATATGCTCCAAAGCTGGACTGTTCCTACAGCGATTGTGTAGTCAATGCAGTCACTTGTAGATGGTGTGGATCTAGTGCATCACAGCTGATTCCAGGTCTTGTACGCTACTTCAAATGTCTACAGTGCCACTTCTGAGAGAGTGTCAATTGTTTTCATTCAGGAGGGACCAACAGCAGATGCCAAAGGTACTGATGGGACTATACAAACAGAAGAAACTGCTCTCTTGAATCACTGTGCTCAGCCACCTCCGGAACCGATAGCAGCCTCTTCAATACCTGCAAGAACTTGGAGGCAAATATTTACTTGTCCTCCTCAGGGTTTACTGGCCCAAACAGTGACAAATGGTATGTAAGAAATAATTTAATTAACCTGAGAAATGGCAAATGAAGTATTCGTTTTTCTAGATGTGATGATACCATCTGTCTATTGTCCTTGAAAACAATGAAGAGAAATAGCTATGTTTTACAAATCACACTTTTGTTTCAACATTCTAGCAGGAAAAAAAAAATTAAGTGAAGCTAAGATTTGAATTTGTAATTTTTGTTCCTCCATTCTCTCTTCTGTGGTTAACATGGTAGGTATGTTTTTGCAATTTGCAAATTGTTTTCATGAGAAGAAAGACCTCCTAATTCTCATCTTGATAGTTCATTTTGGTGTGAGAGCATTGAGATTATTATTAACACAGCTGGGTTTTTGGCACACTGGATGGCTTTGTGTTGAATGAAGGCAACAAACGTGAGACTTTGCAGTCTTATGTTTGGCCAGGTTCTTTTGTTTCTTAAAGCCATGAATCCTAGCTACAAGGCAAACTGACTGCTCAAGTTTAAGATTTGCCATTCACTGATGGCTCACAGAAGTGAATGCTTTGCTAACCAGGCATTTCAGGCTTTTCCTAGCAAAAGATGCTTCCTGTGGCTTTGACTGCTTCCACAGCCTCCATTCTCTCTCACTTAGGATTCTTAGCCTTTTATGTTTGGAAATCTACTTGTCTTTCCTTTGCCACCTGTCACCCTCAAATAAGATTAAGAAAAATCCAGTGTAAAAATGTAATACGTTTTCTCATGATTATAACAAGGGGGATTTATTCAACATCTTTTTTCCTGTCCTTCAATCTTCTGCTTTTATATCTATGCATGCCTTGTTTTTGTTTGATAACTGTAGGAACAGATTTTGGAACTTGAAAAGAGCATCACATTTCCACATATTCTACAATATTTTCACTTAATGTTCTCATAATATTTTTCAGAACATTTTTTTTTCCTGTATGTTATCCCTTTTTGGCTGTTGTATCAAGGGAAATATCTGTACTACTTCAGGTTATCCAGAGACGTGACCTTCTTCAGATTTTTTTCCCCAGGGATATCAATGTGTTGCACAAGAATATCCAGCTAAAAAATTATGATACTGAAATTCTTTTTAAAAGTAGGCTGGAGCTGCCATCATTAGCTCGAAGATGTGCCAGGCTGTACAGCAGCAGGTTCTTATTGCAGTTGTGAAGTAGCTGAAAGAAGATAACCAAATGCAAGATGAGTTAGTGAAAAGTCTTTGCCTTAAATTTGGGACCTGTAAAGTGCTTTCCAGAGTAGTTCAAGGCTCACTCAGTACTTTTTGTTCCCTAATCATGTTCCTGTTACCATTTTTTTAAAGTATCTTAGGGTTTATAAAATCCCTATGATTAAAGTAATTTTTAACGTAAGTGATTTTATTTCTGAAAATCATGGTACCTTTTTCCTTAGTAGATAAACAAATGTGATATAAGAGCAAACAAAGTTGTCCTGGGGAGCTGATTAAATATGAGCATTTCTTGTTTTGTTCCAGTTGCAATCGTGGTCCTGGTCTGGGCTGTGGTTTGGTCCATCACTGGGACTGAGTGTCTCCCCGGTGGAAACCTGTTTGGAATTCTCTTTCTTTATTTTTTTGCTGTCATTGGAGGTAAAATTTTTGGATTCATTAAAATACGAACACTACCCCCTCTCCCCGCTCTTCTGGGTAAGATATCCTTCCTTCTTTTCTTCCTGAATATTTGTGTTGTTTAAACTAGTAAAGTAATGTCTGCATGCTAGATATATTTGCATTGGGAGCAAACAAACTGTGTCATGCTCAAAATCTGTAGCTTTTCCAAGTGACTTTTATCTGGTCCTCTCTAAGAAGGTGCAAAATTCCCCGAATTGTCAGGTGAAATTGTATGTTACTGAGGCTCTCCTCTTAATTCTTTGGGGAGAACTGTATACCTACAGATTCAAAGGTTATTATCCTTTAGTCCCCTCTGTCAAAGTTGCTTAAAATTTGGTTTTTAATATCACTAAACAGGAGTCTTATTGCGGACCTCCTGTTACAGTAGAATAATTAATTCATAAGGAAATTGTTGCTGAACTGTTTCACGTGTATCTTGCACAGGAAAAATATTTTCCAAAGAAAACACTACAGGAATTCCCTACTACTGGTAATCCAAAGCAATTTATTTTCTTCTCCTTCCATTATCTCAAGATAACTGAAATCTTGAGATAAATCTTGAGATCTTGAAACTCAGAAAATAAACTCACCACATGGAATAATTCTTCTGAAAAGACAAATTCTTTTGAATCAATCATAACATTGTTTTTCATATCAGCAACTTATTTTACATAAAAATGCAAAATAGAAATAGGAGATGAAAATGAAGTTAATTCCGACATCATCAGAAGCAGTACAATATTGTGTAGTGCTGTGATGTCCAGGTTCTTTTCACCAGCTGTATGCTGCCCCTTTACTGTGCTTGGTGCATAACTGAGCAAAGCTGTTGACAGCCAGTAAAACTTTCTGGCCGAGTGGGCTAAAAATATCTGCCTGTGGAGCACGGATGTGATTTTGTAACCTGCATAGCTGCTGGTGTGCCTCACACAGTAACGCTGCTTGCAGAAGGGCTCTGTAGCTTCAAATGCAGCTCCGTCCAGGCAGCAGGTGCCTTCTCCCACTGCTCAGTTTCACCAGCAAGAAAAAATTCAAATGAGAGGGAGGGAAGTTTTGCATATAGCACGCAGGCTGCGATAATATGAACACAGAATGTAACACACAGGGAGTCCGCCCTTTCTAAGTAAACACCCCCCCCTTAAAAAAAAAAAAAAGGGAAAAGTTTCTGACCGTTTGGATTCTGCTTTTTTTTTCACTACATCTGTATCTAAAAGTTATGAGCTGAGCATGAAACTGCTTTGTCAGACAGGTAATACTGAACAACAGAAACTTGAGCATGACAGCACATGTCTGTTGAGTTGCTGAGGACAGAGTTCATTATTCAGATCCCCCGTCTGAGGAAAGTTGGAGAAGTCTATGAGTCAGAAGAAGAGATAGACAATGCCTTTGAATATTCTTTTCAACACTTAAAATACAAATCTTGTACTCTTCCACGCCTTTAAGGCAATTGTGCCAAGTGCAGTTGAGTGTAATGTGGCTGGCTGAGCACTTACACACCTTATAGTGAGCTTTTGAGGGAAAAAAGCAGTGAAATTGCTACTGAAACAGTCATATAGTATACTTTAGGTATACATTGCAGAGGGGTTTCTGCAGCAGGCAACATGGAGCAGAACAGTGAAAATATCTTCTGAGGTGCAGTTTTTTGTTTTAAGTAGATTTCTAGATCGGGGTAGCTCTAGTGACTCGGACCTCAAGCAAACATTGCAAAAAGCATGTGATGATTATGCTGGTTTGATATAATTGTCATGAGGTACTGCAGATTAATTTTGCCACTGCTTTTTTTCCGGGAAGGACAATGACTGAAAGTTTAGCATCCTCCAGGACAAATCAAGTCCACAGCCAAGGCTCACACCAAGCCAACACCAACCTAAGCCTAGTGTTTGTTTACTTTTTGTCTTTTTTCCGTTTCCTGCTTCTTAACGTGGCTAATATAAAACTACACCACAAAAAAAAAATGTACCTTTACATCAGCAGGACCTACAATGAATCTCCAAAGATCTATATTTGAAGTCACCCTTTCCTGCACTTTTCTGTTAACTTCCAGAGCTACAGTTCTGATAGCTTTTAAGAAAGTCTCTGATTAAACAGTTTTTCTAATATTTGCAAAAGTTTGGATCTTGCAAGAAGCTCAAATAGAGAATAAGAGCAAGTTCCTGATTTTCCTCCCTCTTTTTTCCTCCCTTCGCATAAGAATCATATTGCCTAAACGTTTTAAAATATCTAAGTTAGTCCATGATTAGCCGTTTTAGATTGTATTTCCCAATGAACTCAGCATTACCTGTGACGCCTGCATTTCTTGCATCTAAGAGGATTTTTAACCATTTTCAACTTCTGAGATAAATACACAGTACCAGATGATCTTCCTCTTTTTATGTTAAAACAAGCTAACAAGAAAAATATCTTTAAGGATGCAGAGGTGTCTTTGCTTAAGGTAAATTTTTAACCATTTTCAACTTCTGAGATAAACACACAGTACCAGATGATCTTCCTCTTTTCATGTTAAAACAAGCTAACAAGAAAAATATCTTTAAGGATGCAGAGGTGTCTTTGCTTAAGAGGTGTCTTTGCTTTTGTATCACCTGCACCTGATGAACAAAGCTGAATTCTGTTGACTCTCACCAAAGCTATATGTCAGCATCCTATGGATTTATTCATTGGTGACTTGGTGTGTTCTTAGGCTGCTTTTATTGCTTTAAACACGTCTCTCTCTTTCCAAACCTCAGTCCCCTTTGTTAAAACGCGGCTAAAAATTCAGAACAGGAACGGTTTCTTTGTCTCTCATAAATACGGTGTCTGTTTTTAAGAATGCTGTGCAAGCTTCTCTTGTGCAATAAAAACAGATCATTTGACAGGAGCTTATTTGCTTTCACTTAAGGGATGCTACTTGCTGGTTTCCTAATCCGAAATACCCCGTTCATCAGTGACATCGTCCAGATAAAGCTACGCTGGTCTGCTGCACTGAGGAATGTTGCTCTTTCAATTATCTTGACCCGAGCAGGACTCGGCCTGGACCCAAAGGTATGGCATCAACCGTTTGTTTGAGACACAGTATACAGATTGAAAAAATTGAATAATCAGTTCTGTTAAAAATATTGAACTGTTCAGTCTTACAGGATCTGCAAATTAGAGCACTACAGAAAGCAGAGTTTCTATTGCATAGTCATGTGTTAATATTGGCAGTTGGATTTGTGGGATCTGCAAATTAGAGCACTACAGAAAGCATAGTTTCTATTGCATAGTTGTGTTTAATATTGGCAGTTGGATTTGTAGAGTAGGCAAGCAATCCAAAAAATACCTGAAGAAAACTGATTTTATGACTATTTTCTCCCTTGCCTTAAAAAAATTTCCTGAATTTTGTGAGCAGAACATCTTGAGGACGTGCTCCATCATTGTCTGTCAGGAAGAGTTTACACTCCCTGGCAAATATTCTGTCACTTTACACTGAAATATTCTCCAATCCTTGAAAAAAAATGTGTCAGGAAGAGTTTACACTCCCTGGCAAATACTCTTGTCAATTTACACTGAAGAATTCCCCAGTCCTTGAAAAAAAATAATGCTTGTATTGATACCAGTCAAAAAAACCCAACCAACCAAAAAATCCAAACCTGTGTGTCGATTTCGATTTTACTTTTTTTTTTTTTTGAATTATTGCCATTTTTATGCAAATATTCTGGTTGCAAAGATGAGTCCTGCTGCACCTTGGAAACAATGCTTCACATCACAATAAAGCCCATAAAGCTTCTGTGAAAAAAAAATAGTCTTCCTCTGCACACTATGAAATGTGACATTCCATAAATTAACAAAGGCAAGGTTTTCTTGATCAGAATCAGCTGGCTGAAATAAAGCTCTACCATCTTGGCCCCTAAGTATTTAAGCTTAAGGGACTGTTTTAAGTTTCTGTAAAACTTAGGTGAAGTACAACTAGTTCAGAACAACTAAACTGATGTTTCTTAACCAAGGGAGTTGCCAATGCTTCAGATACTTAGGAAAATAGGTTCTGTCATTCTTGAAAAAATGCCTGGTTTCCTAGATTACTATCATCCATTTTTCCAAGACATTCAGTCTTGTATGAGCACGACTGTGTTGTTACACACAGCTTGCATGCTTAGTTCTGTGAGAATCCTTTTCTTTCTACTCCATGACAACTTTTTTTTTTGCCAAAGGAGCTTCATCTTTGACTCATTTTTTCTCCCGTGTGGCAATCAAAACTGTCATTTGGGCTCTGTATGTAGCAATGCTTTGATGCAGTTACAATTGTTCCTCGTGTAATTGAAGCTGTGAAGACAAAGATGTCAGTTGCTCTGGTATTCTCAGCCCTAATTATGCCAGGATAAACTGCACTGGTAAAAAGTACAACTCATTGTGGTGGTTTTTTCCCATGTCAAAATTAGGAACCTGTCCTAACAGAGTCATGTTTGTGACTAACTATTAAAGAAAGGCAGCTGTTACAAGTAAATGCTCTGGTTTTGAGAAATTTTTGAAGAGAAGCTGCTGAGCTTGGCTCCTTGTGCCAACTTTATGTAGCTCTACACCTTTTCATGATTGGTTCATGGATTTGGGGACAATTTTTTAGGGGTGCTCACGCAACTGGTGGGATTATAACAAAATCTTATGCGGATGGAACAAATGACCTCAAGTGACTATGGTTAAGTCAGCTGTGTTGAGGATCAAATGGATCCTAGCTAGTCTAGCCTCTCACATGTAGTTTGCTCTGCCAAACAGAATTCTCTGCCACTCCTTCCTGTGACGTGCAGGAACCTTTTTGAACCTGGATGCAGTGGGTTGCACTCCCACGCTTGGAATTTTATATCCAAATCCAGTTGTGCTCGAGCCTGTCTCCGGCTTAGGCCACGTAAAGCTGTCACATCCTGTGCTGCGGCTCAGAGGGAATTCTTTCAATAAACCCTATCAGTTCACAATGTATTTCATCTCCAAAAAGCCAAGGGTACTGATGTCTGAATATGGTTGTGTATTGCAGGCTCTTAAGAAGCTCAAAGCAGTCTGTTTGCGGCTTTCTTTCGGACCGTGCATCTCAGAAACGTGCACAGCTGCTGTCCTTGCCTACTTGTTCATGCATTTGCCGTGGCAATGGGGATTTATATTAGGGTAACGTGCTCTCTTTTCTCCCGTGTGACAACGGTGCCCGTTTTCATGCTACAGCTAAATGTTCTAAGTGCAGTTAGTTCTCTGTGCCAAGCAGAGGCCTCAGTTATTGCCAGTTAGGAAGCTGTGCTTCGCTCCTGTGGTTGGTTGCTCACTGTACGTGTCTGGCTCTGGGGCTAATTTAAAGGTCAAATTTCCAGGCTGTGGAGGATTACTTGCATTATTCCTCTTCTGTGTTTGTGATCTGGGCACTTGAAGAAGGAAAAAGGATGGTGCAATCCCTGAGTCTTTAACCACAACACAAGGGGCTTTGAGGGACAGAAAATGATAGTCCAATTTGGAGAATCTTCCTTCTGGAATTCAGAATTTCCCGGTGGAGAGAGGCACATAGGACAGTCTTCCTATCAAGTCAAGGATAAGAATGTGGCGTGTCATATTCTGGAGTAATATCCCTGAAGAGGGAGGAAACCTTTTCCATCTAGTTCTATCTAAACTGGTGGACTTGGTCTGGACCCATATACTAGAGCAAGATGGATGAACTTCTCCTCCTCTGCAATACACTGATTTTTATGAGGAGGAACTGGGCTGCCGAGCCTTAAGGATGTCTACTAGATCAGCTCCTAAATGGGACAATCAAGGCATATATTAGGGAACATAAGTGGCCTGTACTGTAGACTCAAGTCTTAGTCTGTGGAGCCCTTTACTTTTGATACTATTGAGTGGGGCAGGATGTAAAACCGATTGCAAATTTGCATAGAAATATCCCTACTTGTAATTAGCAGGGAAAGGTAAGAAAGATACCTTATGTAAAGGGTCTGTTTATTTATACTGTAAAAGAATTGGGGTCAGAATGTTTTGAAGTCCTTTAGTTCAGTGCTTTCTTTTTAAGAGGGGCTGAACCTGTATGTTTTCAGTTTTGTTCTAGGTGCAGTCTCCCCTGCTGTGGTGGTTCCCTCAATGCTGATTTTACAAGCTGGGGGATATGGGGTGGAGAAAGGCATTCCGACTTTGCTCATGGCAGCTGGCAGCATCGATGATATTCTGGCTATCACAGGCTTCAACACGTGCCTTGGGATGGCTTTCTCTTCCGGTATGCTGGTTAATCTGTACGTGGTGAAATCCAGAACAAACAGTGATATTTTGAAGAATGTGTGCTCTGTTGTGACTGACTGCTTCAGAACTTAATGACATCTCCTTATAAAGTTCATGTATGAACTCGAATATTGAGAGGGAAATCACCTATGATCAAAAGTCTTGGTGTAACATTGTCTGCTCTGAGTTGTGGCTCACAAGAACTTTCAGAGAACATTTTTCCCTTCTCAGCTCCCTTAACTGCCAAGCCTGGTCCCTGCAGGCCCAACTTAACTGCTTTCAAATTACCCAGGGTTTGGCAATGGTCTTGCAGTGGCTCTTTCTCTGGCTTCTCTGGCACACTTCCTTGGCATGAGGTTTCAGAGAGAGAAAGCTGCACTATCCAGTTCTTTCAGGCCCATAGGTTCCCTCCTGAACCCCTTTGCCCTCAAGTAATTTAAAGCAGACACTGTCCTGGAATTGCCCTTGTATGTCTACAGTGGTCTGTCCGTGGCTTACTGAACCTGTTTTTCTGTTGCCAAATAGGTTCTACTCTGTACAATGTACTCCGTGGAGTGCTGGAGGTTGCTGTTGGCATCGCAGCCGGGGGGATTCTAGGAATGTTTGTTCGATATTTCCCAAGCCACGATCAGGTAAAAACCCAGTAAAAAAAAATCTTCTTAGAAAATAGAGATTCTTCATTTAAGGGATGATGTTCGTAAATTACTAATTTCCAAGCTTCATGTGAAGCTATTTTAGGGGAAAGCTATGTACAGCAATAACAACTTCCAGGATGCAAAGCCTGTCAAGTGAAGACGTGTTTTATAGATGATTACTTCTGTACTTCAACAATAACAATGTATGATCTCATAGTCCTTCCTGATGCAGAGTTTGGAAACCAGCTCATCATCCTGCTCTCATTGAAGGTGGTGGAAATGTCCACACATAAAGTAGGAAGGGTCTGATGCCCATTTCAGACAGTAAAATAATCATCAGATTGATGCACGACACATTTACTTCTAAAAGATGTTTACTTCTATAAGATGTCTATAAGATTAAAAATAAGTAAAGTGGACAGATTGTAGACTTTATGTGATTGGGTGTATCATTAGAGCCAATTAGAATGTGTTACTTTCAATAAAAATTGAGGTATATATAGTGGTCCAATAATTTACTATTAAGAGGCAATTAAGTGAACAGAAAATTGTGGAAGAAAGTAGGTAGGTTCTGGACTGCTGAAGTCAATTTGCAAAGCATCTATTGCCCTTAGTGGAACCAAATTTTCTTCTTATTAAATAACATAAGCAGCATAATACAGGAGCTAAATGAATAAATAGAAATGGGGAACAACAGCAGAGATATAACTGTCTGCTGTGAGGCTGGATCAAATAAAACTAGACTGTCCCTGGCAAATGTTTGTTTGACTTGTCCTTAAAAACATCTAGTGGCAAGGATTTCACTTCTCTTTGGATAAACTGTTCTAGTACTTGACTGCACAGGTAGAGAATCCTGTGCTTTTATCAGAGCTGAAGCAGGGCTGTTAGAACAGAGCATCATGTTCCTTGTGATACAAAAAGGCTATTGGCAGTAAGATTTTGAATGGGCACCAGAAAGAAAATACTACATTTCCAAAAATTAAATTTCTTAGAAAACAATGTCCAAAAAAACCCCTCAACTCAACTGAACAGTTCAAGTCTCACTTGAAAGCTTTGATTCTTTTACAATGGTTAATGGTAATTGTTATTTTCAAAATTAACAGAAGTAAGATTACTCCTCCATTTCTAAAAGAAATTTGCTTTTTTGTTTGTCTCTTTCCTTGGCTGCAGGCATCTCTGGCGTGGAAGAGGTCATATTTTGTACTTGGGCTGTCCATGTTTGCTGTTTTTGGCAGCATCTATTTTGGCTTCCCTGGATCAGGAGGGCTCTGCACATTAGTCTTAGCTTTTGTTGCAGGTGTGGGATGGTCTGATGAAAAGGTGAATGTTTATATCAAGAAGCATACCATACCAAAAATCCTTTGAATGTACACCTTGACAGGATTTTGAATTTGTCAGGGGTGGTAATGGTGCATTTATGAAGCTCTAGGGAGTGTACGGATTAAACAAAACATGCTACTTGTATTTTGGAAGTCTTTAACATTTAGCATGAGAGAAAGTTAACTGTGTATGTGAATATATATCAATACAGAGCCTAATGTCCTGACAGAGCAATGCTCACAAGCTTTTCTTAGCCATCTTAAGCCATGTAAAGGAGATTTAGTTATCAAGACACTTGCCTAGGAATCCAAAGCTTTATGTCCCAGCTCTGTGAGAGTGTCTGTAACCTTACACAGTCACTTTATGGTAAGATTTACAAATAGGTGTCCAAGTACATTGTCCTCATGGCCTGAACTCCCTGAGGTTTTGTCCCCTGTGGTTTTGGGGGGTGAAATGGAAAGCAGTAATTAACCATCCTCTCTCATCTTTTCCAAATTCCAGCCAGTGTATTCTGGTTAAATTAGAGAGCAGGATGCCCACAAGAAATGGTGATACAAGGCCATACAAAAACTATACAAAAGACTGCTTTTTCGTCAGTTTCTTTTAGCTACTAAGCCTGCTTCCTTTAACTGTTGCTGCCCTGCTGCATTTCTGTACCTTTTGCTTGATACCATCTACACAATGTTTTTAGGGCATCTTTCTCTTTCACAGCTGTAGCCTTGCGATATGCAGTAGGAGAAGGGGAGAAGAAGAGAAAGGAAAGGGGATCAGATATAGCAGAGTCCACATTATTATCCCCACCTAGACCCTGACTTCGTTAAGATCTCAAGGTTTGTTAAAACAAAAAAGAAACCATGGTTTCTATTTAAAGTATTGCACTGTTTTAATAGATTTATTAATCTATTAAATTTTATTAATAATACACAATTTTAATAGAAGAAAAACTCATCTTGGGACTTAACTACTTAAGATATTACAACTGATACAGCTCTCTAATGAAAAGCTTTTAAACCATTTCAAAAGGATGGATCTTAAAAGAGTGTATGCAGTCCATAAATGCTGAAATAATGCTAACATCCGTAAAGAGGACTGGGTTTTTGCCAAAAAATAAAAGAGCAAGATAACATGGAGAACCGAGGCAAATAAAGAAAAATGTTTCGAGATCAGTATCTTTTCACCTCGTTCTCTTTACAGAAGTTTTTGTATTGCAGTCATCTACCACTGACTGAAGAGCAAGAGATGTTGCAGGATCAGTCCCAGAGAGAACACCAAGGACAGGATACATCTAAGCCCTGGATTGATCATTAAGTGACAGAGCACTGCACTTATATTTTCCGCATATGCCAGTCTGAAGGTTCATTTGCTATTGTAGAACTCAATTAGAAAAGAAGTGCTATTAGATATGCTGGGTGTACCACTTCACATAAGTGTAAGATCCCCATTTATCTTGGCAGCAGTTGTTTTAGGAAAATTGTTAGGTGAAAAGTTCAAGCACAAGGAGAAAAGATGGCTTTGCCTTTACACAGTACCTCACACTGGAAATTTCAACTCTTTTTGCTAGTACAGGATTTGAGACTTGCTCAGTCCAACTTTGCTCCTGCTCATATGGAGAGAGGTCTCTGATGGAGCACAGCATGACTGGAGTTAGGTCATGACTGAAACTTTTGAGGAGCTGACTCTGCTCAGATACAACTAGAAGAACACATTTAAGCATGTAGTTCCTAAAGGCTCAGAAACTTCATAGCAAAACTGTCCAAATGACATCTTTCTACATACTGAAAATCAACTATGCTTTATTTTCCTCCTCGTCTGCAAACTGCTCTGTTGCTGTTCAAACATCCGTGATTTTTATTTCTCTTCTTGAGATAGCAAGTATTTATTTACCAGCAGAGCAAGACACACTCTGACCTTTGAAAGATGCACAACTGATTTTGAATCTTTTAGCTTTAGGTCAAAGAAGGAAGAGCAATTTGGGACTTTATGATACATTTTTCAGTTTGTCCTTTGATAATTAAATGTTGTGTCTACTTGGCCATACTTTTGTGCATTTACAGATTATTTTTGGTTTGATTGCAGAGGGAGGTAGAAAAAATTGTTGCAGTTGCATGGAACATCTTTCAACCTTTTCTTTTTGGTTTAATCGGAGCAGAAGTATCTGTTACATCTCTTAGGCCTGAAACTGTTGGTAAGCTCATTCACTAATTATCCAGCTTTCATTACTAGCTTCCAAAGAATCTCTATAAAGAAATCTAAAGGAAAGCAGACTATGACTGCCGTGACCCTGCCAAAAAAACCACCAAACCCCAACAAAGACCCAACGCCCCTGTAAAGTAACAGTTCTAGGAGGCTTATTCCCTTCTGGCAGCTCTGCACAAAAGTACTGAGAAGTGTTTGTCTGTTGCAGGACTCTGTGTTGCTACATTAGCCATTGCCCTCGTTGTGCGACTCATAGTGACGTTCCTGATGGTGTGTTTTGCTGGGTTTAATTTCAAGGAGAAAGTATTTGTCTCGTTGGCGTGGATGCCCAAAGCCACTGTCCAGGTAAACAGTCCAACATCACTTTTTGTTCCAGGCTAAATCCGTTGTCCTTAGCAGAGCTCCTCGCGACGAGCACAGCAGTGAACAGGGAGAGGATCAGGCTCAATAACAGCAGAGTGTGGTACATGGATAGTTAATATTCTAAACTGCCCTAAGTCTGCTAGAAAAGTGCATGGAGAGCCTTCTGTGGGAAGCTGTATTGCTTGCATCCTGGGCTGTACTCTTAATAATGACAGACTTGTATGTGTATCATTAGAAGTTTAACTATTTCTCAGTCATTGCAGGTTATTGTGCCTTTACGTACAGCTTCTAAGAACTCTGAAAACAAAGATAGAAGCAGTATTTGTCTCGTTGGCGTGGATGCCCAAAGCCACTGTCCAGGTAAACAGTCCAACATCACTTTTTGTTCCAGGCTAAATCCGTTGTCCTTAGCAAAGCTCCATGTAATGAGTACAGCAGTGAACAGGGAGAGGATCAGGCTCAATAACAGCAGAGTGTGGTACATGGACAGTTTATATTCTAAACTGCCCTAAGTCTGCTAGAAAAGTGCATGGAGAGCCTTCTGTGGGAAGCTGTATTGCTTGCATCCTGGGCTGTACTCTTAATAATGACAGAGAACCGTATGTGTATCATAGGAAGTTTAACTATTTCTCAGCCATTGCAGGTTATCATGCCTTTACATAACAGCTTCTGAGAACTCTGGAAACAAAGGTAGAAGTGTTTCCCTCTTACAGCACATGAAGCACCTGCAGGGACAGTCACACCAGAGGCTCAGAATGGGTTTTCAATTTGTGGTCATTTTAGTAAGAGGTGGGCTGACTTGTTCCAGGCTAAATCCGTTGTCCTTAGCAGAGCTCCTCGCGACGAGCACAGCAGTGAACAGGGAGAGGATCAGGCTCAATAACAGCAGAGTGTGGTACATGGATAGTTAATATTCTAAACTGCCCTAAGTCTGCTAGAAAAGTGCATGGAGAGCCTTCTGTGGGAAGCTGTATTGCTTGCATCCTGGGCTGTACTCTTAATAATGACAGACTTGTATGTGTATCATTAGAAGTTTAACTATTTCTCAGTCATTGCAGGTTATTGTGCCTTTACGTACAGCTTCTAAGAACTCTGAAAACAAAGATAGAAGCGTTTCCCTCTTACAGCACATGAAGCACCTGCAGGGACAGTCACACCAGAGGCTCAGAATGGATTTTCAGTTTGTGGTCATTTTAGTAAGGGGTGAGCTGATAGCCATATTGCTAGAGAAGCCTCGGGCTGGCTGCGTTCCTGCTCCTTTATTTCAGTGATCATTAAGTCATTTAGACTTTGCCTCAGTAGCATGATTACTTGCAAACAAAAGTTAATAATCAGAACAGGCAAAGGTTGTTGCAAGCTTTGTGAACTAAATTTTCAGAAGCTGCTACTAGTTGCCTGTTTTCAGGACACATTTTCAAAGTGTGGCATTTTAATAGCGGCAATATGCAATATACTGGCCCATTTCAATAATCACACATTCTCCAAAAATGTGGACAAAATGGCAGCTAAGCAATGTTCTTCACAGGAGGGAACCACCCAGATAAACTCCCGAGCTTAGAAAATTAAAAGTGTAGCCAAGTGAAAGTCATTCTCATAGGTATAATATAACACCTATGTAATCCCTAGAAACAAATGGATTGAATGTACTAAAAATGTCACATTTATGTTAAATGTTGACTGATGATGAGTCCCTTTCTTTCCTCTTTCAGTGCTAAAGGATACTTGATCCATCTCAGCAATGTGTTCTTTCCTACAGGCTGCAATAGGTTCCCTTGCCCTGGATACAGCAAGAAGCCATCAGGATGAGCAACTGGAAAAATATGGGATGGATGTACTGACGGTAGCTTTCTTGGCTATCTTGATCACCGCTCCAATCGGAGCCCTGGCTATTGGCTTGGCAGGGCCCAGACTTTTGCAGAAGGCTCAGACAAATAACCAGGAGGATGAGGAAGGTGCTGAGGCTGTAGAAGAGGCAGAGGCCTGTGAACCTTCATAAGAGACCACTACAGGAATATAGTCCTTCTGCCCTTATGCTTCTGCTGAGTAAACACAGCGTGTCTGTAATCTTTCTGGAGGAAACCAAAACAAGTGTCAGCTACGTCTGCTATTTTAAAAGCAGCCCTGGTGGAATTTTATAAAATATTTTTATATGTTGATGGTGCCTTGAGATGAAATATCTGAACGTACAGTGAATAGGCTGGCCAGGCAGTGAGTCACTGAGAAGTCAGCAGTCAACAGTTACTTGAAACGTGTGGGTGTGAGGCCAGGGAGAGGATGAGAATTGTTCAGGCATGGAGTGGAGTCATGACGTGGAATATAAACAGAAGAAGATGGAGACTAATGTGAATAACTTCTTGATGGTTGAAACTGGGCTGTGAGAAGGCAAATTCAACAGCTCAAAGAATGCAACTTCTGAATTAGAGACTGCTGACAACAGTGAACGAGTCCTGCCACGGGTTGGCGGTTCCCTCTTTCCTCATTTGAGTTCCAAAACTTGCCTTTTCCTATTGCTGTTCTTCCTCACAGCTCATGCACCCCTTTGTGCCTCCAAGGGACTTGTCAGCTTTGGTCACAGCAAGAAACAGCAGGTGGTGTACTTGTCAGCTTTGGTCACAGCAAGAAACAGCACGTGGATAGCCATATTGCTAGAGAAGCCTCGGGCTGGCTGCGTTCCTGCTCCTTTATTTCAGTGATCATTAAGTCATTTAGACTTTGCCTCAGTAGCATGATTACTTGCAAACAAAAGTTAATAATCAGAACAGGCAAGGGTTGTTGCAAGATTTGTGAACTAAATTTTCAGAAGTTGCTACTAGTTGCCTGTTTTCAGGACACATTTTCAAAGTGTGGCATTTTAATAGCGGCAATATGCAATATACTGGCCCATTTCAATAATCACACATTCTCCAAAAATGTGGACAAAATGGCAGCTAAGCAATGTTCTTCACAGGAGGGAACCACCCAGATAAACTCCCGAGTTTAGGAAATTAAAAGTGTAGACAAGTGAAAGTCGTTCTCATAAGTATAATATAACACCTATGTAATCCCTAGAAACAAATGGGTTGAATGTACTAAAATTGTCACATTTATGTTAAATGTTGACTGATGATGAGTCCCTTTCTTTCCTCTTTCAGTGCTAAAGGATACTTGATCCATCTCAGCAATGTGTTCTTTCCTACAGGCTGCAATAGGTTCCCTTGCCCTGGATACAGCAAGAAGCCATCAGGATGAGCAACTGGAAAAATATGGGATGGATGTACTGACAGTAGCTTTCTTGGCTATCTTGATCACCGCTCCAATCGGAGCCCTGGCTATTGGCTTGGCAGGGCCCAGACTTTTGCAGAAGGCTCAGACAAATAACCAGGAGGATGAGGAAGGTGCTGAGGCTGTAGAAGAGGCAGAGGCCTGTGAACCTTCGTAAGAGACCACTACAGGAATATAGT